GTCGTCTGAGCTCGGTCCGGGCCGCCGGCAGGCACAGCCCCGGTGCGACGTCCTGGTCCCTGTCCCCACCAGTCGAGTGACCTCGGGGTGTCCGTTGGCGTCTCTGGGCCTTGCTGGTCTCACCCTGGGTGGGACGAAGGTTTTGTAGAGCCCGAGGTCAGGGTGGACCTGAGCATCGTGATCACGGCCGTGATCACAGCAGCTGCTATTTATGGAGTTCTCGCCACGTGCCACGTCCTCTGTAAGCGCTTTCTGCGTGGCCCGTGTTCCGAGGAGTGGGGGGTGGGGACAGGAGCAGGGCCCGGCCGGGACCCGTGGGCCGCGGTGAGGAGCTCGTGTCCTCTCCTGGGAGTGACGGGACAGCCCCGAGGGGCATCGCCGTCCCACCCTGCTCCTTCGGCCGCCGTGCTGGGAATAGCTCGGGGGTGGGCAGAGCAGCGGCAGGACGACCCGCCAGGAGATGCCCCGGGCTGAGAGCCCGCGGTTGCCACGGCGACGCAGCGGGATGAGGCTCTGCAGCCCCAGATGCCCACGAGGTCGCGAGACCCTTTACGCCCGGCGGGGGCGTGAGCAGAAGCCGACCCCTCTTGAACCCGAGGGCCCGGCTGAGCTGGCGAAGTCCCCGAGGCCCCGAGGCCCGGGCCGGGGAGGAGGCCCCGAGGTCGCCCCCGAGAACCGCCTCGGCCCGGAGGGAGCTGACGCTCACATCCTCCAATTATGCGCCCACCGAGGCGGCCCACAATGGGCCGCCCAGATAACCATCGCGGGGACAATGCTGGCCGTCGGGCTATTTTTACGGCGGGCACCCGCGCCGGCCCCGAGGGAGCGGGGCAGACAGAGGAGGCGGCTGCAGGAAGCCTTCCTCAAAGTCTGCTCGCCCCAGATAGTGGAACAATCGGGGTCCCCGCCCCGAGCCAGGGAGAGGAAGGAGGCGCGGGGGAAGGGGGGCTGGTCGTGCTTTCGTGTCTCTGCGCAGCCCCCGTGGCTGGGGCCAGGCCAGCACGACCCTGACGACGCCCGGAGCCCTCAGGCAGCGCGGTTGGAGGCGGCGCGGCCGGGCTCTGCGGCTGCCACTCCGCGAACCGTCTGCCCAGAAGCTCTTGCCTGACGCCCTACTGTGCGCAGGTCCGGCGCCGGGACACAGCGGTGAGCCAGGCGGTCGCTGGCGAGGGTGTCCCCGTGCGAAGGGGCCGCCGCGCCCGCTCGGTGGTCGCCGTGGGGAGTATGAGCCCGCTGTACCCCGAATTCCGGGTTTTCGAGAGAACCTAGAGATCTTGACTCTTCTCCGACGTGAGCTGTTTCGGTGTTGGTCACCGATTCGCGCCGTGAAGCTGAAACGCGTGGAGTCGGCCACTGTTGCCGCCCGTTTTATTCCGCAGGTGGGGAAACTGAGGCTCGGAGAGGCGCAGGGAGGCCACCAGCTCTGGTTTCTGTCTCCCTCTGCCGCGTCACGGGTCAAGCCCTGCAGCCAAGGGGACCCGGCCCCCGGCCCTGTCCCCTCCCTGTGAGCTGGGACTCAGGGGGTTCTTGGTCACCCCGGCCAGTCCTCGGACAGCCAGCGCTGCCCGCCTCCCGCGTGGACGGCCACCACCCGACGAGCCCGTGGCCACCAGGCCGTGCTGCCGGGGAGAGTGAGCCCTTGGGACCTGCCCCCCAGGTGGGGGTCTGAGCAGGACCGGGCCGGAGGGATCACGGCAGCTCCCGGGGGCTTGGAGACGCCGCCTCCGCCGGGACCTCCCCGTTGGCCAGACCCGCGGGGAGCCGGCTGGGGGTTCCGCAGCCGCAGCCTCGGGGGTCGGCGAGCGGAGGGCGCTCGGAGGCGGGCGCGCAGATGAAGGTTCCGCGCGGTCTTGCCTGGTCCTCACCCGTGCACGGCCCTTGCTTTTTTCTGCAGCAGAGACGTGACTGTTTGGTAAATTGCAAACGTCTTTCGTAAACCTCCGATCTCCGTACTTTGACGGAAGCCCGTTCTTGGATACCGTTTCCGCTCCAGCCTGGAGCCCCGTCCGTCCTCTGCTTCCACTTTCCCGTCCTTTCTGCAGTCGCGGGCGGGCGCGTCCACGGGCCGGGAGCCTCCGTCCGCGCGTGCAGACGCCAAGCTGGCAAACGGTGTCTGTCGATTCCTGGAGACGGCAGGCAGGGAGGCTGCCGCTTGGGGAAGGTGCCCGGAACTGCCCGGGGCGCGTTGCCTTTGGTGACAGGTGACGCCGGGGCTGGGGTGCGGGCCGAGCTGTCACGTTCGGGGGTGACGGACACGGGCCCCACGGGCGCTTCTGCTCAGCAGGTCCCTGGGCAATGGACCTCGTCCGTTCCGGGGGTCGCAAGTGTCCCCCAAGTCCGCGGCTGGAACGCTGAGGTCGCGGGTGTCCCCGAGGGGGCTCTGCATGACCAGGATGTTGTCTGAGCCGCGGACAGAGGGCGCCAGGCAGGTGGGGCCGGCCCGCGGACGGGAAGCGGCAGACACACGGGGGCCCCTCACCAGCTACGCGTTCCGTTTCGTCCCCGCAGAGAGCGAGGACATGGCCACCAAGGAGAAGCTGCAGTGTCTGAAGGACTTCCACAAGGACATCCTGAAGCCCTCGCCGGGCAAGAGCCCGGGCACACGGCCCGAGGACGAGGCCGAGGGGAAGCCCCCGCAGAGGGAGAAATGGTCCAGCAAGATCGACTTCGTGCTCTCCGTGGCTGGCGGCTTCGTGGGCTTGGGCAACGTCTGGCGCTTCCCGTACCTCTGCTACAAAAACGGCGGAGGTGAGCCGGGGTCGGCCCGCCCCGCCCC